TAACCTACCTCAATGGGTTTCTGTGACAAAAAACAGTGGAGAAACACGTACGTCTCACTAAACTCCTTGGTGGGATACAAATGTGGTGGGTAGGTAGGGGCAAGGCCAACGAGGTGTGGTCTGCAAGTCAAATCTCATCTCTTCCAGTTCAGCCACTCTCTCTTACCTTCAATCATATAACTATACTGATATATAATAGAAACAAATCTATAATATCATAACAATAATACTGATCTACTTGGACCGCAAGAAGATCAAATCAGTCAATCCTAAAAGAAATCAACCCTGACTGTTCCCTGGAAGGCCAGAGACTGAAGCTGAAGCTCAAATACTTTGGCCACCCAATGAGAAGGGAGCACTCACTGGAGAAGACCCTGATGCTGGGAAAGATTGAAGGTCAAAGAAGACGGGGACGGCAAAGGATGAGATGGTTAGACAGTGTCATCGATGCAACGAACATGAAACTGAGCAAGCTTCAGAGGACAGCAGAAGACAGGAGGGCCTGGCGAGATCTGGTCCATGGGGTCGCGAAGAGTCGGACTCGACTGTGCGACTGAACAACAACAAACTTTATGAGGCTGTTGTACAAGTTGAGTCATGTATGTGAAGTGCTACTGAAAGCACTCTGTAAATGCTAATTGGGTGATGATGAAGATGATGATGATGATGATGATGATTGATGATGAAGAATATTATTATCATTAAATTGGTGTACAATGTTCCCTATAAACTCTAATGCCAATGCTTATAATTGGGAAGAAAAAGAAATGTGTGCAACTAGTATTTCGCCTGACAAATGATTAATTGTCAAGATGAAAAAAAATCATCTTAAAGGCTTTCTCTGGTTCAAAAGATACATTTAGGAAGTCTGAGGTGCTGAGTGACTAATTGCAGAGTTTAACCAAATAATCCTTTCAGCCTTAAAACAACTATATTTAAATTTGTGCCTGAGTTTCTACACCACATCGATATTTATTTTGACAAGAAGAGGATTTTTTAAAAATCACACCTACAGAAACAGAACCGGTATTATGCTCATACTTCTGAAGTGTAATTTTTTAAAAAAGCTTCCTCACAATTCAGCAAAATGTCTGGATGAACTGAGGGAAGGGGGTTCTCCAATAATGGCACTTTCATACATGCTGAATAATGCAATTCCAGTCCACTTTCAATGCACTTTTGGCAATCATTTGCAAGCCGCTTTTGCTGTTTCGCACAGTAAAATCCAGTTGCAAAGCTGCAGTGACAGCGCATTATTCAGCATGTGTGAAAGAGCCAGCAAAGGTGATGGGACAGCCCCACCAGTTCCAAGCGAGAGCAGTCTACCTGGCTGGCCAATCTGCATTGATCACACTCTGTTCTGATCAAGCTGGGTAGCCGTGTTAGTCTGTAGCAGTAGAAAAGAACAAGAGTCCAGTAGCACCTTGAAGACCAGCAACATTTGGGGCAGGGTAGGAGCTTTCATGAGTATCTGAAGAAGCGAACAGTGACTCATGAAAGGTCCTGCCCTGCCACAAATTTTGCAAGTCTTCAAGGGGCTACTGGACTCTCGTTCTGTCCCGAGGGAGGGCTGCCTGCACTTCCTCTGCTAGTTCTTTATACAAGCAATATCTCACTGACTTCCAGGAAATTTTTGCTGCAGTTGTTACAAGCATACAAAAAAGACGTGAAACCCTTGCCAGCTTCTTTCAAAGGAATAATGAAGCAAGGGCTCCCAGGATGATCAAATTCCCCCAGAAACCAAAGCATGAGTTTAGCAGATGAACTGCTCTGAGGAGGAAGAGGAGAGCTGCCTAGATGCCCTCAGCCAGCAGGTTGAGGAGAGACTGAAAAAGCCGACAGCAGAACAGGCCGTTCAGACCAGACTGGAGGAATTCTCAGCCATGTGGAGAGGGGCGGGAAGGAGAAGAACCGTGAAGTTTGTTCTTGTCCATCTGCATCTTCCCATGAGTCTGTCTGTGGGCTTGACTGTGCCACAGATGCAATGATGTTTTAAACCCATTCGACTGTTCTCGCTTCCCCTCACTGCACGTTAACCCAGGTTCAATCCCCAGCATCTCCAGTTAAAAGGGACCAGGCAGTAGGTGGTGTGAAAGATCTTCTGCCTGAGACCCTGGAGAGCCACTGCCAGTCTGAGTAGACAAGACTGACCCTAATGGACTGATAGTCTGATTCAGTTTAAGGCAGCTTCATGTGTGAACCCTAATGTGAATGTGCTGAGGGTTCTCTGCTGGAAATCCCTAGTTCCTTCTCCATATCGCTGCCTATAGATATTGCTTAGTAGTGGATTAATTCTGAAACCCTTTATACCATACTAGCTTCATTAAACTGAAGTCGAGCAAGTTTTGTTTTTCTGATTGCAGCCTTTGGACTTCAGTGTCAAGAAAGTAGGCAATGACATGTTTTCAGGTAATAACATTCTCCACTATATGTAACCATAACTGCAATTGTTTATTAGTTATTGTTTTGTTACTTCTTTGTTCCTGTTGTTGCTGTTATTGTATTGTAACTTAAAACAATTTAAAATATATATTAAAAAAAATCTATGCCACACGGAAGGTGGATTCTCAGCTTTAAGATAACGGAAAGCTTTATGCCATAACATAGAGTCAAGATCCATTGATTTGCCTCCACTTGTTATTCCTGACCATTCATTTCTTTCTGGCCATGGAACTTAGATACACACACAAGCTCTCAACCCTTCAATGGAAGAAGCAACTTCCCTTGTGAATGTCACACTTAAAACAGGGATGCACTATGATTTCCTCATGCCAAATTTGTTTCTTCAAAAGTCATGTATACAATATTCTTGTAAAACAATATTATAAATAAAATTCTGGGTTTTCTGTTTTTAACTTCCCATAGGTTGTTGTATTAAACGGAGATATTATTGGGGGAGGGGGAGAGAAAGAATGTAGGCAAAACCTATGTGGTTGTTCTGGAGCCAGTTGCAGGTGTATGAAGTCACAGGGCTAGACTCCGTGTCATGTGATGGCTGAGTGCTGCATGATGGGAACTTCCAACGTGCAATCTGGCCTTAAAAAGCAGCTATGAGACTTCCTGATATGGATCGAGGCTGTGGTGCTGAGGAAAGAAGACGATTCCCCTTGCCCGTTTCCCTGATTGAAAATGCTCCCCCAAAACTGGTTTAGGCCCAGGTAAGGGAGGGGAAAAGACAGGTCCCAGACAGTCTTTTTCCCCCGTAGCAAGACTTAAAGCAGCATGGGAGAGGCAGCTACATTTCCCATCAGTGAAATATCACGGGAGGGAAGAATTCACCCTTCTCTTCCCTAGTCCGTATCAGACGTCCCCGTGGTTGCTTTGTAAGGGCCGAATTCTACGTCAGGAATTCCAGTAACAGAACTTAAACATCCCGTCTGGCTTGGCTGGTAAACAGCCCTATGCATTTATCTCTTAAACGGAAGAGGTGGCACTTTAAAAGAGGGTCAGCGGGACCCTAGACACCTTTAATCTGAAGCAAGGTAATCTGGATGCTTTCACCCCAGGGGCACCCCCTAGGAGGAGCCTCCTGCTTCCCAGCTGCTGGAAGGGAGGGGACTTGCAGCTCCATGAACACTTCTAAGCAGGTATGCTGGGTGCTTTGTCTTCACTGGCCTATACAAATAGCTGTGTCTTAAGCAGGGTTGCCAACAAGCCTGGAAAAAAATGTCCCATCCCTTTAAGGAGATGTTGTTTCCCAGGCGATGGTATTAAACTCCATGCTGTCAAAAGCTTTAATAGCCCATTTCCACACATTGACTCCATTAAAGGGACAGGACATATTCTCCAGGCCTCTTGGCAGCCCCACACTTAAGTAGTTCATGTGGAGACTTTTGTAATGCCTGATCTTATTTTAAAATGTATGCAATACATTTTCAGTGTTTGAGAGCAATAGGCAGATGATGATGATGATGAAGAAGAAGAAGAAGAAGAAGATGAAGATGATGAAGATGATGAAGATGATTTGCAAGCTGGAAAGGTACGCGTCTTCCAGAAATACAACAATTAACAGTTGTTGTATTTCCCAAAACCTGCATTCAAAGCTAATGGATTCTCCAGGGGACAAGAAGCGTACGTAACATGTCTAAATATATGGCTACTCTTAGAATAATTTAGAGTTGCTTTTCCGAAGCTGGTTTTCTTTGGGATAAAGAGGAAATAGTTTGATTCTGCTTTGCTGGCCGTGCCAGTTCTGAAAATGTGTCTAGAGCTCTATTTTCCGTAGCCACTTGAATCGATTCTGCATGAAAACTGTTGATAGCCCACATCCCAGGGTGAAGGGAAATATACTCTTCTTGTGTAATTTTGGCATTTCAGTTATATGAAAAGTAAACATTTGCTGTGGTGTTTTGTTTTTTTAATCCTAACTGCTTAATATAACCTAAATCAAAAGAATTAATGTACAGTGGTATGTAAAGTGCTACATGAGGATGTGGGAACCTCACAGCATAATCCTGTCTCAGTTCAGAAGGAAGTCTCACTGTGTCCAATGGGGGTTTAAAAACAGGTAAGCATGCTTAGAATTGCAGCCTCCGCTCCAAATAGTGGAAAGGAGAATAGACCGCAGCTGAAGGCATGCAGAAATTTCCTGGCAATTCCAGGGAAGATGGCTGCAGCTAGCATAACAGAGACAGAACGCTGAAGAGATGCTGACAGTCAGAGTAGACAATAGTGTGTTAGTTTTAAAGATGACATACCTCCATTTCTTTAAACCATGTTTAATCTCCTCTGTTTAGTCTGATCAAAAATGGGACTACATGACCTTTGAAGGTATTGTGGACGGCATCCGGTATTGTTTGGTTCGGAGATTGTTGTTTTTCCCCCCCAACTAAAGCCCCAACTTGATTGACTGCTCTGAACAATCTGTCCTTCCTGCCTTCCCCTCTCCACCTCCCCATCCATCATGTTGCTGGAAATGGGGTGAGGCGGGGACCTTTTTTTTTTTTGATAAATGAAGTACTGGAAGGTTTGTGTCTCAGTAATGAATTCCAGATACTCACTCTGTGGTTCTGGTAGGCCGTCACTGCAGTGAAGCGGGTCTCCTCAAAGACAAAGGTCTTAAAGTTCTCCTCGGCATACTTCTCGCTGTCTTTCCTAGGGTCGACGTAGACCACGTGGAAACGAGGCTGGTATCTGTGCATGGAGTTCAAAATGATCTGAATGATAAAACGAGCAAGGGAGATCATAACTGATTCATTCTACTACACCGAGGCAGCACGTTGAGAGAGGAGGGGGGCCCCACACCCACACACAGGATACCAAATGTGCAATGTCAGGGTAGGGGGCTACATGGGGCAAGGATGGGGGGGGCTGGACTCAGTGGGCATCCTGCTGTCTTTGAAGAGAGAGCTGGATGGGAGGAGAAACAAATGAAAGTGACAATGTTTATCAGGTCCTGGCATGATTAAGTTGGATTGATTTATTGAGAGGAGGCTGTCAAGGTAAAAAAATTTTTTGTCTGCTCCAGTCGTTTGATTGCAGACTCTCTTCATTTGAGATAATAAATTCCAATAACTTTTTTGATCTGATAGAGATTACTTAGAGGAAAAGTCACCTCTCCTAGCTAAATTTAAAGTACCTTTTGATGTATACCCTTCAGTTAAGGGCAGGGGTCATTTGGGGGGGGACGCAGGGGGACGCCATCCCCCCGGGTGAGGTGCGGGAGGGCGGGGCCTGGAGCTCCCTGCTGGTGCCCGCTGGAGGTCACCGCCGGCTGTGGGGAGGACACACTTCCGGTGATGTCAGGGTGTGTGGCATATGCTAATGAGTTATGCTAATGAGTCCCCCTAGCTCTTTTTCTACGAAATGACCCCTGGTTAAGGGTACAATCTAGCCAGCAGTGTTATATTCTGATTTTGGCAGAAGGGATTAAATACATGCTTGCTTCTCCCATGGAAATGTGTGTGCGTGTGGGTGCGACGAAAACTGTGTATGATTTTAGAGACAGAAAGCCAAAGTAAGGGCAGAAGGACTCTGAAAATTGCTCTTTGAAGAAATGAAGATGCTCAGAAAGTCTTCTCAAGATAACTAATTTACTAACATAGAAGCAATGCAAAGCAAGAACTCTACAAGTATATTGCCTTATTAACAAATGTAATATTAACATTTAGTTTAACTTGGTTATGATCTCTCACTCTTGGTTTTTTAGTTAGTGTGGGTATCTTTCCTTTATCCATAGATGTAGTCCCTTCCCATTTTTTTCTTTGTAGTTTTGTAGTCTATTGAAAAACAATAAAAATACCCCTTTGGGGGTTTCAAAAAAAAAGAGGAAATGTGTGTGCGTTGTGTGTTAAGTGCCATCAAGTGCTTCCAATTTATGGCAATCTTATGAATTAATGACCTTCATTATGTCTTATAGTTAATAGCCTTGCTCGGATCTTGCAAACTGAGGGCCATGGCTTCCTTTATAGAGTCAATCTATCTTATGTTGGGCCTTCCTCTGTTCCTGCCGCCTTCAACTTTTCCTAGCATTGTTGTGTTCCCCAGTGAATTTTGTCTTCTCATCATGTGACCAAAGTACAATAGCCTCAGTTTAGTCATTTTAGCTTATAGGGAGAATTCAGGCTTGATTTGATTTAGAATCCACTTATTTGTCTTTTTGTCCATGGAAATAATGGGATTTCAAAATGCCCAAGACTGCAGTTTTCTGAACAATTACTTGGAAGTAACTTGCCCATTTCAATTACCAGGACATACTTCTGCAGGGCTGCAGTCGTATGCAGACTTATGCATGTCAACGGGACTTTCTTGTAGTTGTAAGTTAACATATTTGTAGGTAGAAAATTTATTGTATATGACCATAGGCCTTTACAATCGAGAATCGTTAGAGATAAAATGCACCTACAGATATAACAATAAATTACCTCACTAAAATATAGCAATATAATACATAATATCTGAAAGCATTTATAATGGTGTATACTTAAAATATAACAATAAAATACATCAAACTAACTAGCAGCAGCTGTATCAGTTGTTATTTTCCTAGTTGCTACATTTGCTCTTATTTTTCTAGCATCTAGAGCAAAAAGTGCCATTCTGTTGGAAACAAAAGAATCTGTATCTGACAACATAAACATTAGTTTATCAGAGTCAGAAAGAAGGTGGAGACCAGAAAATATGTTGGCGAGAAATTTTCCTCTTGGTTCCGAGTATATGGGACAATTTATTATGTAATGAGGCAGGTCCTCGATCGAGGATCCACAGATACATATACACTGGTCTACAGGTTTGTGATCCACTGTAGATTTGGCTGGTTGGAGTCTTAAAATGGTCACACTAAGCACTATACAGCTGTTATTGACGTAGACTGAAAACTGGGGTTGGATCCAACTGGGAGAGCACATGCAAGCCTGCATCTTGCTGCCTCAGTTTCCCATCTGTGAAATGGGCTCTGGAAGTAACTGTTGCAAGATTTTAGGGAAGACAAATGAAGTCCTCCTCATAACTGTGTGTTCTTGGAAGTCAAACCCCGTTAATTTCAGGGAGCTTTATTTTTCAAAGAACTATTATTAGGATGATAACCCTCATCATACACGGTCAATATGACATGCTTAAAACAGCAAAGTGAAGAAAAACAATGTGCTTCCCTCTACTAAAAGACATATTAATTGCTTACTTCATAGGGATGTTGAGTGGATGGAAGACTTATAGAATGCAAAAAAGTTTATATAACAGAGATACAAGAGATATGCTCAGTGATCACTGTTGTGGTATTTTGCTAGTAGCCCTTTAGAAAGTCTCAGGTTTTGGAAGGCCACACATCTGTCCCAGATGTGACCCCTTCAGGCTTAGGCCAACTCTCCTAACAGTCATTTTCTGGGGCTTGGCAGCCCACCCACAAGAAGGCCTAGATCTACCATCACACCCTCTTGAGAATCATCCACTGTGCTATTGATCAAGCCCTTCAACCATGGTTTTCTGCCTCCCCCTTGTAACACTTACGTGTCCGTTGTCATCCAATAGATTGTTCGTCAGCTTAAGTTTGTCAAAGGAGACAATCTGTTTCATCCACTGAGCTCCCCGGGCGGGGGAATCCGGGTGGTAATGGACTCTCCCGGGAGTTGCTGGGTCGGCCTTGCCAGCTACTAGCCAGGAGGAACTGTGAAATGCGTATCTGTATGGAGAGAAAAGCCGGGTCTGAGTTAAGCCTCCCGCTTAAGCATGAGTGGACTGTAGTGCAACAGCCCAGAGAGTTTACTAGACTCTGGCAAGGACCTTTCTGCCATCATGTACCACTAGTGCCAGTCTTCTCTTTGGGTCTTAAAATTCACCATGGCTCAGAACACAATGGTTGTTTTTTCAACACAAATCAGGGATCCTATAGACATATCCCCAAATGCATAGAGATAGTTCACCTAGCAGGGGAAGCAGAAATGGCTCCGGTTTGTATTTCTGTAATGCATTAGAGTAAGTTTGCCTATATGAACGTTATGTTATTTATTTACTTTATTAATACCCATATTAATATGGGTATTTGTTGTTGTTCAATCGCACAGTCGAGTCCGACTCTTCGCGACCCCATGGACCACATCACGCCAGGCACTCCTGTCTTCCGTTGTGCTCTGGAGCTTGCTTAATTTCATGTTTGTTGCATCAAATATGGGTATTAATAAAGTATTAATATTACTTTATTGATTAACATTAATTAATGCTAATATTAATACTGTCTCCCCAGTGGGGACCCCAGTGGCGTGCATCATTCTCTGGCAGGAAAGTCTGATTGATTTTATTTTATTGCAAAGAGATATTTTATTGCAAAGAAGTTTGTCTAAAAGAGCTGGCATGGCATAATGCCAAAGAGACTGAGCTGTGAAAGCCCTGGGGATCAGATTTTACCCTTGGCATGAACTCACAAGACCGGCCTTAAGGCAAGCCATTTTCTTGCAGCCCCAGTCTTTCTATCTGCAATATGGGTATAAGAATGGTCCCTACATGGCAACAAGCTTGTTACAAAGACTTTAATGAGATGGTGTGTGTGAAGTGCTGCTGCATTTACTCAAAAGGAAGAGGAGATCCCCTGCTAATACCATGAAGGGGGGAAGTGGGTAGTCTTACATTCCTATATATGTTACAAGTATGAACAGTAATAAAACCTTTTTTCGTGTATCACATTTGGGGGGATGGGGTCATCTTACATTCAGGGTCTTCTTTCTTTGGCTTAAATGCTAAGTATTTGAAAAGAGAAGAAGGCTTGTGGCTAGTACTATTTGCCGATAATTGTTTACAAAGGAAGAAAGATGGAATGGGAATTCTGTGGCCCAAGTTAAAATCATTTAAGTCCCCCTAAGCTTTTGGAGTTAAAACATGTCTTCTATCCAGGGCTGGGGAGGGAAGCCTAAAGCTTCAGGGGCCCAGGAAGCCATGCAAGATACCATTGAGGGAGAGTAGCAATAGTCATTTACTTTATTTATTTGTTTGTTTGTTTGATTGATTTATATCCCTCCCCCCACAAGCGGGCTCAGGGTGGGTCACAATAGGTCATTTCACAGTAAAAACAGTATCGAAATATACAATGTTAATCAAGTTTAAAACCAATTCAGAATAAAATGGCAGGCTGGGTCATGGTAGTCAGTGTTCCCTCTAAGCTGAGTTAGTGTGAGCTAGCTCACAGTTTTTTAGCCTCCAGCTCACACATTTTTGTCTCAGCTCAGGAAGGAGGGCTCCAGAGCCAATTAATTTATGCAGTAGCGAAATCACTCGCTCACAACTTTAATGCCAGTAGCTCACAAAGTAGAGTTTTTGCTCACAAGACTCCAAAGCTTAGAGGGAACATTGTTGGTAGTCCAGAGTGCCTCCTGTGTGGGTACTGACTAGATGGTCAAAAAGGCATCCAATATTATTTATTGTCAGAAGAAGATGATGAAAAAGAAGAAGAAATTGGATTTACACCCCACCCTTCACTCAGAGTCTCAGAGCAGCTTACAAACTCCTTCCCTTCCCCTCCCTGTGAGGTAGGCGGGGCTGAGAGAGCTCTTTGCAGAACTGTCCTTGAGAGAACAGCTCTGGCAAAACTATGGCTTGCCCAAGGTCATCCAGCAGCTGCAAGTGGAGGAGTGGGGAATCAACCCCAGTTCTCCCAGATTAGCCACGCACTTAACCACTACACCTACACCAAACTGGCTCTGCTGTTATCAGTTGGGCTCAAGGCAGATTACACAGGGTGAATCAATACAATTGACCAGATGGGACATTGAATAAACAATGCAATAGGATAAGGATATAGAACTAACCAGCAATTTAGAAACAGAACTGAAGCAGAGCACAAGAACTAACACACACATTAAATGATGCAAAATTCCATAGTAAGATCCTAGTTGTAGCAAGCTATACACGGTAGTATAAGATCATTTTTCCCCAAGTAACTTTGTGGATCCTCGAGTACAGTGGGACTTTATTGCCCTTGTAGAAGATATCCCTGTTCCAACCACTGATCTCGTCTTCTGAATGTGAGGTGGGCCAGAGAGGGAGTCTTTGTCTGGGGCCTCTGGTGTGCACAGATATAGGGCAAAAAAAAACCCACCATGCCATGAAAGCCTTTTCTAGCCTTCCCCCCGGATTTCATCCTTTCAAAGTACATATTGATTCAAGAGTACAGACTCAGACCTCTCCTCCCTTTGCGTGTTTATTTAAAATCCAGCCCTTTGCTCAGTGGGAGAACGCTCTCTCGTCGCGGACTTGAGCAGAAACACAAAGCAAAGAAAAAAGGGGGGCGGGCGGGAGAGAGATACTCAATTGGATGTTATATATCCCATTTCCTTTGACAAGCAAACATTTCTGAAACGGCCTGGGAAGCTGGAGATCTGTCTAAATATTTACATCTTCCGCATCACCATTCCTAGGCACAGGGGCTTTTCAGGCGTCTTGGATCTGCCGAGCGGAGGGCATAATGCGTCTTTCACGGGCCCTTTTCAACTCAAGGTGTTAAGAAGTCAAATCGCATAACTGGGGGGGGGGGTAAGCAGGGCTGCCTGCAAAGACAAGTTGCTGCCTTCTGGTCGGCCACAGAAAGAAGGTTTTGGTAGAAAAGGCACCTCTGGAGGGCCTAGAGAGGCAGGCACACGAGGGGGGGGGCTGCTGAACATCGGTCAGACTCAAAGGTGGCTGTGGAAGGGAAAGCCCTTTTGGGCATTTGTAACGCCCCAGCACAGGTGTACACCAGTGTTCCCTCTAAGCTGAGTTAGTGTGAGCTAGCTCGCAGTTTTTTAGCCTCCAGCTCACACATTTTTGTCTTGGCTCAGGAAGGACGGCTCCGCACCAAAACTAATTTATGCAGCAGCCAAATCACCTGCTCACAACTTTAATGCCGGTTGCTCACAAAGTAGAATTTTTGCTCACAAGACTACTCAGCTTAGAGGGAGCATTGGTGTACACGGCGATCACACACACTAAATAATGCTCTTTCCATCCACTTTCGATGCTCTTCCCAACTGGATTTTACAGTGTGAACTGGCAAAATCCAGTTGGAAAGTGGATTGAAAGCGCATTATTTAGCGTGTGAAATCGCAGCCAGTCCCGCAATCGCGGTGGCTCGTCTTCTTTCCAGAAAGGTCGAGGAAATCTCTTTAGGCGGCGGGATCGCCCTTTGAAGGGCCAGTTTCTTACTCCTTCGTGGGCTTCCCCAGATCGTTTCCCAGAGACGGGCAAACTTTGTTCCAAGCCCATTGATTTCCGCTTGGAGCGTGGTGTGAAAAGTCCCCAATTTTGGCCGGCCGAGCTGGATTATCCCGGTTTCCTACTTGACCTGGATGCTCCTCGAAGAGGTGGTGTTCAGACCGGCCTGTTCCAACTCCCTAGAACAACCGAACCCTGGTTTTGACAGGGGGCAGCCTTTTGACAACTCCACGTGTATTCTCGAGCTCCCGGTCCTGTGCGGTTTTCGAGCAATGATTTCCAGCCCGATCCTTACTTTAAGGGAAGTCCCAGTGGCCTTCCTGCAGCCCTCGCTGGAGACGCTGAAAGCAAGCAGGGCACCTCCAAGGATCCTCCCAAACCCCGTAGGAATGTCGGGGGAATCAAGACACCACCTTCCACCCAACGTCTTAAGGACAGGGCTGCGAGGCAGATTTTTTTTTTTTTACGGACTACAAAATTGGGTCTAATCGGTTACAAATTGCAGACGCCCCAAGGCGCGCACACGCGCGCACAAAAAGACGCTGAGTCAGAGGGGGGGGGAGAGACTTTCAGCTCTTTCTTCTTCTTTGGTGGCGTCGCTGCTCCTTTCGGCCAGAGTCCACGTGCAAAACTCTGCTGCACCCTTAAACTGCCTGGGCGCGGGCAAATGTGACTGGGCGAACCCAGGTGGGTCGAACAGTGTCCTATTTTGACCACTCTTTCAACCGCGCAAACCAACCTCTCCCTGCCAGGACATACTCAGCGGGATGAGGCTGCGATCCTTTGCACGTTTACCCGGGAGTAAGCTCCATTGGATGTAGTGGTACTTACTTCCGAGTAGACATCCTGGGTCTACTGCTCCCGCTCTCCTTGGGTCCCCTCCATGGGGCACTGTTTTAAAGCGAGACGCTTCTACGCCGCTTTGCAAGGAGACGCGGGTGTGGCAGGAGGACCGAGCTGAGAACCAACCCGAAACAGTGCCGGGACCAAGGCTCCCTTCTCAGCTGTGGAGTCTCTGTGAGCAACAAATTCTACTTTGTGAGCCACTGGCATGAAAGTTGTGAGCGAGGGATTGGGCTACTGCATACATCAGTTTGCTCTGGAGCCGTCCTTCCTGAGCGGAGACAAAGATCTGTCAACTGGAGGCTAGAAAGCTGTGAGCTAGCTCACACTAACTC